CGAGTAACCCACGTGGGACTCTGATGCCCATGGAACTTTCAGCCAATCAATGAGCTGAAGTTCCTCCAGGTAAAAACAGGCAACACAGAGAGCCTGAGAGATTCAGGAGAATTCTGTGAACTTTTCTAAAGGGAATTCAAAGGAGAATTCCAGGGCAGGATGGCCCAGGAGCAGAAGGCTCCCAAGGGCAAGACATTCTCGCAGCGCACCTCCTGACCATCCTGAGACTCAGCCCGGATAACCACGGAACGGCCAGTGTGTCCGAGTGCCAGAACTTTCCTTTGTTTTAAGAGTCTAGAGCGGAGGTTGCCAGAGAGCAACCAGAGGATCCATCCGAGGTTAGCACCAGCAGCAGGCCTCGTGAACAGGTCGGAACTGTGGACAGCTGAATCACTATTCAGAACTAGCTCTTCATCAGGAACGAACTGGTCCTCTTCCTGACTTGCTGGGACCCACAGTCATCTTTTCTCCTGTGCACAAACTTTGCTAGTTAAAGCCAACACAAACTAGCCAGTCAGTGGCTTGCGAATATATATCTTTTGTATTCTGACAACCCTCTTGATAAGATCTGTTAGGTTTATATGCATATTTTATGTATTAATAAATGTATCCTTGTGTATAAGTACCTGTGTGTGTGCGTTGATCGAGTTATATTGCATGGTTGGATTCTAAAGCCATGAAAAGAATCAATTTGGTGATTTACTGCTACAATTAATAATTGTCCCAGTAAATGCACAAACCCTACAGAACTGGTGCCTTCAGAGAGCACACTACATTACACCTGATTACATGTTATTTACACGTTACTGTTATTGCTATTGTGTTACTGTCTATTGTCTTATCTTCTGTCCTATTTATATACTGCACCTGAGTGACTATTGAGAAACTTTTCATTATACTATGAACCTGTGTAAGTATAATGACAATAAAGTTGAATTGAACACACATGATGAATTTCCAAACAACTTCAAGTATGACCCATTTGGAGCAGGGTAGAGGGAGTGTTGGGGCAGGGCATACCAAGTTACTCACCTCAAACACCTGAAAAAAATATCAAGGAGGCATGAGGGAGAGATCATAGAGTCATACTTATCATCAGGTTTGGAAGTTCCAAAGAACAAGGAAAAACACACAAACATAGATAACACATCTAGTGATGCAGAATATACATCCAAAATACTTTCTAAATTTACAAGTTTCTGAAATAATATTCTCTTGAACTTTTCACTTTGACTGTCAAAAAAGCATACTTCTGCCTGGAACAGACAAAAAAATCAATATCTTTCTTTCATTGACATTTTCTTTCCAAATAACTCCCCTTCTGATCGAATATTTTTCTCTGGCAGTAGTGAGGTTAAAATAAAGGGATGATATCTGTATGATTCAGAGCATTCAGTCTGCATTAGATTTTTGTTTTAGATTTGTTTCATACAGTTTTAATTCATTTAATATATTTTTAAAAAGTCAGAGAGATCAGTTAAAGTACAGTACTGCATGCTGTAATGCTTTGCTTTTTTGAGACTTGCACTCATCAGATGGCATGATTGTTATTTATTGTACCTCTGAGCTTCACAAGGAGAACTTATTTCCAGAAGTAAATACAATTTATTATTCTTATCAAGGTTGGCATAAGCAGCAGTTATTTTTCACAATTTTATATGATACTTCTAGGAGCCTGAGGTAAGTTGCTATGGTGTATGGGGTTTCAACTGTTGAAATGGCTTGAACAAAATGTATAACAAGCAGGGTGACACTTCAGAGATCTGAGAAGACCTTGAAATACTGAAATCTGTTTTATTGCACAACTGGCTTTATCACACTAATTCAGTTCAAGAGAAAAAATGTATTTCTGTGTAATTTAAACTTTAATGTAGAAAAAAAATGTATTCAATTTTTATTGCAATACAATTCCCTCACAAAGCGATATATGGTGTTCTCTGCAGCCTAGTTTCATTACATCATTCTGTTTTCTCACTGCTGCTTAGAATGGACATACCTACTAGTGAAACTCAAGTAACAACACTAAAAAAATAATTTGATCCTTAATTAAAGAACCACATGATTTCAAGAATGACCACCTTGCACATTTTCTTATTTCAACTGCACAACATTTGTGGCTGCAGTTTTAACTTGTTGCACAGCAGAACTCACACCTACACTATCTTGGCAGCCACTTGGTTAGCTGCAAGCGAGTTTGAAAATGTAACGTGATCTTGTGAATTGCAGCTCTAATAAACACATTGACATTAATCTCTCGCCCAACTCTGCCCATGTTATCCTGGCAGAACTCACTACCTGACCACTGCCTGAGAGATTCCTTCCCACGGTAGGTGATTGAAAATACTCAGAGTAATTCCAATTCCCAGGTTATCATTTATCCTCATAACAATATACAGTATATACACACATCACAGGTTCTGGAAGCTTATATTAACTTCTACTTTCAGAGAGAACTATAAAAATGTTTTGAATGGCATGGGGTTTTGCTCTCAGTGTATATGATCACTTCCTGTCCTTCGTCCCACAGCCAGCCAGTGAGGTGTGCTCTTGCTTACCCAGCTTTTCTTCTTCTTCTTCTTGGCATCCGCGTCCTTGCAGCTACCAATGCTGGAGTGGCTGGTGATGCTGTTGAGGCTGGAGATGCTTTCAGATGAGTTTTGACGTTTTATTCGCAGCTCTAGGGGGAAAAAAACAGAAGTACATCCTTTACTATTCCCTGCAGCAACACAAGAAAATGCTGTATCCTGGGAACACATTACAAAGGGTTCACCCTAGGAGTAGAGTGATTTGCTTTGGTATAATAGTAGGATTTTTGCAGAACCAGTCATCATTTTATTTTGTGATCAGCTTATACAAGCTGATCATGGCATAAATAGCATTACTTCTTTGAGGCTATTGTAGCATTTACTGGTGGCAAACTGAAAATACTGTAGTTTTTTGGTGGCCACCTAATGAGGCAAATAGCCTCTGGAATCATCAGCAGCAGAAGTTACCTTTTGGTGTGATGTCTGGGTTGTTCAAGGCTCCATGGATTACTGCTTGCGCCTCCGAGTTTTTGGTCTTTAACATCTCAATTGTCTCACGCAAGTCCACGAGTTCAGTGTCCTAAGGAGACAACATTGGGATTTCTTTTTCAAAGGATGAATGGTGTGCATGTATGTCAAATATATCCAGTTACTATTACTTTAAGAAAAGAGAGCATATTTTAAAAGGAAATATCAGTGACCTTTGCAGTCTGTTGAGAAATATCTCCTATCTTATAGTGTTGTAATCACTAATGTCATGATTTACTTTGTCAAAAGGCACAGGTCTGACATATTTGCTATGCATTTATTTAAAAGGCAACTGTAGCTGCAGGAAAAACAAAACATCATGCAAACCAAATGACAACTTTATTGTAGTTTTTAATGTACTTATTCTCATTTGCCCTGTCTACATTGACAGGAAATACTGTGTCCTTGCTACTGTAGCTGATTGTTTGCTGGTTGCCACATACGAGTTGCAACCACAGAGGCTGATTTCTACAATTGTCAGACAGACCTTTCCTGAGATGCAACGTCCTAAGGCATTAATAATCAGAGGGGACCCCAGGCCAGTTAACCCAAATGACGACAGGTTAAAAGTAAAGTATCTTAAGTCTCCACAATCTTCTGCCCTGAAGGAAACAGTAATATCCCTTTACTCTTATAGGGCATTCTGTCATAATTCCTTTTTTATTTCAAGGAATTCAAAGGAAATATCCAATACTTAAAGGGTAGTTTTGGTTTGTCTCTACTTTTAAGAGATTACTGAACACTTGCCAGAAAATGCTAGATTAATCACACATTGATTATCTAGGGTGTGGATTAAATCAAAACATTACATCTGCCATTGGAAAATTCTCAAACCAATAGTTGTTACTTTCGTTCCATGGGTAAAATTAAGAAACCTCTGTCAAACGGAACACTGCCTCAATCTGACAAATTTTTAATTGACATGAGATATGGTGTTTTATCAGTGCTTTGATTTTATATTCTAGATTTCCTAGTTTATTTTATTTTCCATATTTGGAGCATAGTATGGTACAATAAATCATTATTTATAATTATCAATTTAATCACAGCAATATTTAGCAAAATGTTTTTCATGCACAGAAAAAAACGTCTTGGCTGCATATTTTTGGGTGAAGTCTCTTTAAAATGTGAGAAAGGAAAAAAAAAAGCTTTTTTTATTGATTCTTTGCAAGATATTGGGGATGGCATTTTAAGAATGCTGTTATGTGCACATTTGTGCACATTTATGTAGCCGGCATCTTTTTGGACACATTGTGCACACTTTTCTCCTATATGTTAGCTAGCATCAACCCCATACACAGTGTTTCACAAATTTCTCACCTTCTGTTCTGCACTGACAGACAAGCTTTGCAGCCGTGATGTCATAAACGCCAGGCTCTGCTCAAATGCAGCAACCAGATTAGCCTGAGAGAGAAACCATAATCAATCATTAAAATAAAAAGTACCAGATAATGTCTTTTACTAATCTGATCATTTTAGTTGCTGAAAAGGTGGGAAGACAGGGCAATTAGACCCAATTGAGGAGATGATGAGAGTTCCATAGATTTAAAATCCTGAATGGCTCGTAGAGTAGTAATTTTGGCACTGGGGAGATTATGGAATTTCAGATAATGGACCCTGAAACATGTTTATTCCCTACACAAGTGATGTTTTATATACAATTCAAATGTCTTAATTACTAAAGCTATGTGTCCAATTATGACCTATTAATTAAATTTCTAATTTAAGTGATTAAGATCCCAAGTATAATGAAAACCAGAAGACCCTGTGAAACATCAGATCTTTTAAAAAGATACCCAACATCACCCTCACTGCGACAATGCATAAGCATTTTAGAGGCTATTTGGCGGCCCCTAGTGGCAGGTCATCTGCAGTTACAGACTTTTCTACAGATGGCTGGCCACAATCATAAAACTGACTTCTCTTATGTTTTTCAATTGTTGATTAATTTGAATTCTGATGTAATGGGTAACAATCTTTAGCCATATTGTGGTTAGATGATGGACAGATAGATGATAGATCTGGTATATCTAAAAACTGACATAAAGCCATAAAACCCTCTCTCTGCCATTGTTGTTTTTGTTGGTATGTCCTTCACGATAAAAAATACTTTTGCACCCCAATAACAGTATAAAGAGTATTTTTTCATGACAATAACCATGTTCTAAGATCAAATTATCATACATCTTCCTTTTAAACACTCATGACAACAAACCAAAATGTCCCTGATCATTGATGCATTGTATATGTCAATCATTTACAGCGTAGATTTGCATTATTTCTTAATACTGCAATGAAACTGTCATAGCATCTCACTGAAAAAACTAAAATCAGTGATATATAATTAAAAATTGTTAATACTATAATTTGACACCCCCTATCAATTTTACGAAATACAAAAGAATGATTATTAATCTGTTGGAAGCATTAAAGAGAACAGAATTGGTATTTCTTATCAACCAAAAATAACATACATGGGTCTCCCTTCCATGGGTCTTCTAGTCTTACTTAGCACTGTCTACATTACACCAAAGTGTTAATGAAGTGTCTGACAAGTGGCAGCTATAAGGAGACTCTACTTGGAGATGAGTAATGTACTCCTGTGTCACACCACAGGGAGCTATAAACCTCTGAGTACAGCAATTACTTCACATGCTTCCGAAGTGACTGCATGAAGAGGCATGCTGCCTGTGTCGTTGACTGATGTTGTGAATGGCGGTTTTCTTTTGGGGAGTGCAACTTGTTAGCAGAGACTGATCTCTTGGAGGCTGCCAATATGGTGATATTCCACTTTTACACCTCTGGCATGGCTTAGTCCTACCAGCCAAACAGTTCAGATTAACACATGAATTATAACTATTTTTCTTGGTTTTCAAGTGTGTTTTTACTGATCCAGTTTAGAAGTTTTGACTTGAGTTGCTAAATCAGGTGCAACTGAAGTATTAACTGGTTTCCATAGAAATTTCACCCACTAAATCTGAGCTTTTGGATCTCATTGTCTTCATTAAAATGACTGGCTTCAATTCTATTCTTTAAACAGTAATGGAACTGGAATCAGAACCTTATAGAGAGTTATGTATTGATAGCATGAACATTTCCATTAGGCTACATCTATTGGACTTCCTAAAATGCTTTTTACAATTTCATATCCCAAGTGTTCAGACGTCCTTTGTAGCATTTTAAAGTACATTTACATTTTTAAATAACTGATGTTGTCACTATAACTGTTTCATAATATGATTTAACCCCCCATTTCAAACATCAGATATGCTACATTTTAAGAAGTGTCAGATTTAAATATAGTATAAAGAACTGCTCAACTGAAAAATTAATCAGTCTTGGTTTGTGTCTTAATTATCACTTGAGTATTTCTATGTAGGTCAGGAAGAAATGATCTGACCTCTGCCATTGCCAGCATTTGAAAACCCAGCTTCAACAAATTCTCAAACAAATGTAAGGCTTTTTCGAGATGTGGATAACAGAGGACCTGTCAATGTCAATTGGCTAATGTGTCAAATATGAAACGGGCACATCCAGTGCTATACAGATGACTGAAATTCAACAAAAGCATTCCCTTAAATTCTAAAAGGATCTACCTCAGAAGAAGCTGAAGTAAACACCCTCTATTTCAATTAAGCATTAAAAAAAATAATTCTACAGAGTGAAATCAACCCAGAAAATACACATTATATGCACATAATTATATTAATTAAGCAAAAGTGATTACAATGACATTTTAATGGTTTTCCATTAAACCATATTTTGTGGATACTTACACTAAAGACCTGATGCAACAGTACTCTGAATTCTAAGTGACCCACTAAATCTGCTGAAATTTTATTTTGTGTAAGATGCAAAAAATCTGACTGCTATATAGACACAGTATGCTATATCTATGTATCCTTCAGAGCAGAGCTTGAGGCCAGTAACTTCAAGCACAACACGCAAAACAAAGAAAGACAGCAGAAAAAAAATCCTGAAGCTAAGATTCCACACTATAACAATATTACAGATCAGTAATGCCCATGATTACAAATGTCTCTTAGATAAAAGATTTTAATTATGCAGTTTTGAACAACTTAATTTATAATCAGCAGAACAAGACTACAAGACTGTGAACTTTTGACCATAAAATAAATATTGACATGAATTGACTGTAGGGAGACTTAGTTAACATGCCGGCAGACTTCGAGACTTCTAACCACTAAACTTGAACCAAGACTTTCCCACAGAATGTTAGCAAAAGCAGTAGAATTAACATATAAAAGAGGCTTCATTCCACATAGAAAAGAGGTCCTGCATGGTTGATATTAAAAAGCTTACACTACTGAGTGTGTAGACAGTATTGTTTTGTTAGCATCTTTAACTAGAATTCAGCTTAGTACAGTGGCTTAAATAATGTTGACATTCAATAATGTTTATTGTTTTAATTTACGTTCTACTTCAAATGAACCTTTTTCATTTTTTTAAACAAAACACAATGGTCTACTGTATGTTACTTATCCTAGCTCACTTTGGATATCTATTTTTAAAGAAATATATATAAAATCAAACAAAATACATTCATTAACTGAGCAGGATAAACCATTAATAATAATGAATATTTTAATGAACTACAGCACCTCGCAAAAATATTCACCCCCTTGGACCTCTTCACATTTTATTGTGTTACAGCATGGAACCATTACATATTTAACTGAGAATTTGTGCCACTCATCAACACAAAGTACTCTATAAAGTCAAAGTGAAAAAAAATCCAGACATTTTACTAAATTAATTAAAAATAAAAAAACAGAAAATAATTGAATGCATAAGAATTCACCCCCTTGCTTTGACACATTTAAATTACCTCTGAAGTAACCAACTCTCTTCTGCAAGTCACATAATTACTTGACTGGAGTCCACCTGTGTGCAGTTGAGGTGTTTCACAATAAATACTCATTCAGAATAAATACTCATGTGTCTGGGAGCTTCCCAACTGCATTTCCAAGGAAACACTACACCATGAAGACCAAGGAACATTCCAAGCAGATCCGAGACACGGTTTTTGAAAACTACCAGTCAGGGCAAGGATATAAGAAAATTTCCATAATTAAAAAGGTGAGAAAATACAGAGCAACTGTGAATCTGGCCTGAACTGGCCATCCTCCAAAACTGAGTGTCAGGGCAAGAAAAGCCATAGTAAAGGAGGCCACCAAGAGGCCTAAGGCAACTCTAAAGGAGTTACAGTCCTCCATGACAGAGATGGGAGAAACTGTGCATGAGACAACAATAGCACACAGACTTTATAAATCTGGCTTGTACGGAAGGGTGGCAAGAAGAAAGCCTTTGTTGAAAAAAAACGTATATCACCTCTCGGCTGGAGTTTGCAAAAAAGGCATGTGAGAGACAACAATTTGGAGAAAGATTCTATTGTCTGATGAGACCAAAATTTAACTAAGTTTGGTGCAAACCTAACATGGCACATCACACTGAGAACACCATCCCTACAGCGAAGCATTATGGTGGTAGCATCATGCTTTGGGGATACTTCTCTGTGTCAGGGACTGGAAAACTCAAAGATAGTACAGAAAAATCCTGGATGGAAAACAAGCTGCAAATCCACAAGAGCACTGGGACTCTTGACACAGAAACATACAGCAAAAGCCACACCGGAGTGGCTAAAAACCCAAAAGGTAAATGTCCTGGAGTGGCCCGGTCAAAGCCCAGACCTCAATCCAATTGAGCATCTTGTGGAATGACTTAAAAATTGCTGTTCACAAATGGTCCCCATCCAACTTGATGGAACTTGAGCAAATTTGCCAAGAAGAATGGACACAAATTCCACTGTCAGGATGTGCAACGCTTATAGAGACTTTCCCAAAGAGACTCACAGCTATAATTGCCAAAGGTGGTCCTACCGTGCATTAACTCTGGGGTGGGGGTGAATACTAATGCATTCATTTATTTTTAATTCATTTTTAATTAACTTAGTAAAATGTCTTTGTTTTTTCCCCATTTTGGCATTATATAGTACTCTGTGTTGATGACGGGCAAAAATTCTCAATTAAGCTGCTCAAATCAATTAGCAACATCTCTTGGTTAAGACAGCAGTTTGGTCCAAGCTGCCCATCCATGTTCAAAGAAATGTGTTTTCTACAAGAGAAGGCAAGTGAGGATACTAGGCCAGAAGAGAGAGGAGGAATGTATAATGAAGGAATGTTGGGATGGCATAATAAACCGTAATCTGCTGCATTTGTTTGTTTTTTTTTTCATTTCAAAGGAATAGCAGAAAATGATAGCAGTCAGTTTCATTGTCTCCTAAATCCTCCATCCTACCCAATAATAAAGATGCAAATAAATAAAACAAAAAATCTTACAGAAATAAATATAATAACAAAATAAAATGATTTATTCCATTCCACCCATGAGTGATACCAAATCCTTTTTAGTCATGATTGTAGGCTAAAGCCCTGAAAAAGAAATCCACTATAAAAAAGAAATCCACTAGGTTCTTAAAGCAAAACACGTAACTACTGCTATGTAGGATTTGTTTTGAATATGAGTTTTTTTCCCCAAAATGTCATCCCTGCCTCCCCAAGGGTATGATTTTTGGATTTGTAATATTACAGTATATACATATATAAAAAACAGCTACTGTATGATGTTTTCTTTGTAAAAATAAGGAAAGATAGCAACTTTAAAAAATTAAAATTAAAGGCTTAATTGAAAATATTTAAAATAATGACAGTGACAAATTGAAACAAGGTGGGAGGACTGTATACTTCTAACTATACAGTATCTCTACGTTTTTACTATATAAAGCTAAGAGAGCTGGCAAGAGCATATGACAGCAATACTACATAAAAAAAATGTTTCAGTGCCAAAAATCAAAGTTATACTTGTAACGCATCACTTTTTGGTGCACCCAATCAAAAGCACTTTTGTTTTTTTATTCATGACTAGGAGCGAGATGTTTTTCTTTCATAGAAAGTGTACAGTACATAGTTCAGGATTTTTTCACCTCAGTTATATTTGTTTGCCTCTCTATGCAACTAAACATTTTTGCAATAATGGACTGGGTAGTGACTTTAATCATTCTGAAGATTATACTTGACAGAAAATGAACCCATTAACTGTAAGGTGTGGACATTTGATTTTAGCCAAACTTAAAAAAGCTTTCATTCATCACAGTGAATCATGTAAACTGTACCCAAAAGTCAATAGATTTATATTATAGAGTGGAATTTTACTAAATTAAGACAATTATTTGAGTTGATTATCTTTAACTTAAAATGATCCCATGCATTTTAAGAAAAAAGCAGCAATGTCTTATATGTTTAGTAGCAATTTCAGTATTTTAGCTTATTCAAAAATGCATTTACAAACACAGCCAATAGCAGTTTTAAAGCCTCAAATGGGGAGGACATGAAAAAAGAAAAAAAAAGAGAAAAAAGACCTGGATAAAGATATTCCTACTGTATCATGAGACATTGATCACAGTGGATATACTCACATTGGCTGATAACTGAGTAGTCAAATTGGCCACTTTCTCTTGAGAGGACTCCAGCTCCCTTCGCAGCTTACGGATTTGCTTCAGAAAAGAATAAATAATTACGATAATTAAAAAATATTTTGTATTTACAAAATGGTGTGATCCACTGCAAAAAAGTAAACTTTTGTTGTTACATAGCGTATAAAAACGGAGAAGAGGGAATTCCATTTGAAAAGTGAAGGCAGAAACTACCTTCTGTTCAGATCTGACAGGCCTTATGCACTTTGTAGCTACTCAATCAAACTCATGAAAGGTAAGGTGTGTTCAGGTATCATTTATGAAGTTATTGGTGAAAAAGGAACGCTCAAACTAAAATATCTAAATTCATGAACTATGATTCAAAAATGTGTCATAAAATGTTTTGACAAAATGATACATAAACATCATGAAGATGTAATGCATAAACACTGGTTAAGTACTAGCTGTAGAGTAGTAAAAATGAGATGGTGAGGAATTATTAAAAACACATAAAACAAGAGGAAGAATACCCTTAATGTATGGGTTCAAGCATGTTAAAATAAATGAATAACTTACTAAGAACAAGCACTGTACAAAGCACAGGAAAGCTCCTCTAAAGGTTTTGCATTTATATAAATCGGAACCTTTAGAAAACCTTTGTGTTAAGAACTTATTTTCCATTTCAAGTGGAGGGTTCACATTAAATGTCAAGGAATTTCTAGAGAATGAGTAATGAGTGAAAAAGACAGTAGAAGACAGACAGAATGGACAGAAAGAGAAAACATACCTCCCCCTGCATCCTTTCTTCAGCCTGAAAAAGCAGGATTGAGAAAGGAAAGGAAGGATAAGGATCTAGAGTAAGACGTGACAGTCTCCAGAGAACAGTAATGAGATTAAAGAACCAATAGTGCCAAAACCAACAGTTGTCCTAGAACTAAAGGACAAAATCAAGTATAGCTCTAGTATAATTTGTGACATCACAGACAGTAAAGACAGTGCAAACTATCTTGTTTACAGGGGAAAAAACTGAATCATGCAGAAAAATGAAGATATAAAAAAGACTTAAAATAGCTGTCTTAGCTGTAGATACACCAGCCACAAAAAAGCAATTATTTGGTTTAAATTAGTCCTAATCCAAATTTCAGATATTAATTGGATTAGTTTGTTCAAAAATCCCCCTTTAAATATTATGATATGACTTTTCCGAGCTATCAAAACAATTGAGCTAAAAAAAATAAAACACTCACACAGATATTTACAGGTATTTAGTGCAAGATCAAAGTGAATACTGTTTACCAATGTAACTCGGAGATTACTGCAGTAAATGTATTAATTAATTCAAGGACACTACATATCCATGATCAACATCTCCATCTATGCAAATTGCACAGCACAGCATTATTGAGTCTTTGCAGTTATAGCAATAACACTGCCCACATTTATGATGACATGTGAAAATGTTCCTAGTGAAACTCTGCATAACTCACCGAAGAATAGTTTGATGAAGCGCTGGATGCCAGAGACAGAACTGAACCATGCACTTAGGAGAGAAGATAGCTTTGAGTTAATAAAACAGCATACAATACAGGGTATTCAAGTCAGCACTTTTCTGCATATTTACAAATTTGAAAAGGACCATCTTTTAGGTTTGAATTCCATGTAATGAGAGATTTCAGATCAGTGTCATAACTTTGCTTGTACGTGATTGGTAGTCAACACTAAGATAATTCAAGTGCCATTTGAAAGTGTATCAAAACAACATAGGAATGAATGGTAGATTCTGCAATGATGATCTGATGATATTCAGTTTATAAATTGAAAAATAATTCTTGTTCTGTACATATTACATATTTGACAGCAAACAAGCTGTATTTTACAAAGTGTTAAGAATCATTAATAAGCATGTCAAATGATCTTTAGCATGTAAAATGATCTGGTCAAAAAGGACAAAAACAGATTATGGATGTGCAGGAGACAAGCGAAACAGAACTGCAATGAGTTCCTCTCACCGTCATCCACAGGGTCCCGGAAGGAGCCAGAGCGGATCATGCCCTTGGGTCTGTCTGCCAGGGAGAGGGTGCTGCCCATCTGTGAGCCTCCATACAGCTCGAAGGCAGCGTCATGCGTTGGGATGCTGTTGGACCGGGTCATTCGAGGTGCACTTGTAGGACTGGGGCTCACTGCCAACACAGGACAGATACATCAGTATTGCTACAGAATCATGACCAAGGTGCTCTAATCATGAATCTAATGACTTGCATCTTACTGTGAACTTTCATTTAGCAGTTTCCTAATGCACCCCTGGAAGTCTGTGGGATCCTTGAATTGTTAAGATAATGGACAGACTGACCAAATGGCCTCTTCTCACATTTGCACCTTTTCTTATGTTGTCATCACATCCGAAACATCTTACAGTAAATGATGAAACTATATTAAAAGTAAAAATACATTTCATTTTGTTCCAATGTTTTGGATATTAGTAAATATCAATACAAATTGTTTATGACAAAAAAACTAAAACAATATTATGTCTTGACTTCAAAAGCAGTGCTTATATTTATAAGTATATAATTAACTTAATTCTCAGTTTTGGCGATACAGTTTAATCTACTTTTGTAATATTTATGCTCAAGTGAAGAGTTACTGTCCAAAAATAATCTACTGTTAAATATATTATTAATGATATATTATAAAACTATACTATTTAAACATTATTATAATAGTATTTAACCAACTCCATTAAAAGAAAAACAAATAGAGACTTATTGGTCATGCTTCTGCACTGTAGTAAAACTGGCATGATATTAAACTAGTTACCATCAGCTTCAACATAAACACGAAACAAATGGGGCCCTACCACAGATATTGCCAGGCACTCACCAACGTTGGTGAAGGGAGCTTTGCCAGTAGAGGACAGGGATACAGAGGATGGTGATGGCAGCTGCAGAGCGCACTCGGACTCGGTCAGACTCACAATGGTGTGTGAGTGCCGACGCTCTTTGCTATCTTCCTCGGGTTGGCACGAGTTGTACCGGCTACTGAGGCACAGTGGGAAGAAGGTGACACTACTGACAACCATCAAACTCATTGCTATCTTGTCCACAGGTAAAAATATCAACATTCATAAGTGGAAGATCAAACACTATGAAACAACTCTCTTTAGAAAGTCACTTTGAAAGCAGAGTGCTGACACACTGGAAACCCAAATCTTTTGATTAAGAAAAAAAATTACCTTAAGCCCTTCTTGGGCAGAGTGTTCCTATCCCGTTGAGAGCTAAAATAGAAACAACCACATAAAAGCATGATTAGATCAGCAAAGACAAATTAAGCAGAATAACATTCATTTTAGCCATAAGCATTTAAAATCGGCTAAATTTATTTTTAAAAATAAAGACAGAGAAAAAGAGAGTTCTTTGTGCTAACGAATGGTTCTATTTTTTAAATTATATACAGTATACTCAGTGCTTCCCATGCTTTTAAGCAATATAAAACCTTATATTATGTTACGACCCCAGGTGTCTAGGGGTAAAGGGGTGTAATATTTAGAATGGTTTTTGATGCAGAGGGGCTTCTGGTAAGGGACCTAGGAAGCCTGACAAGTTTTGGTGCAAAAGGAATTTATTTTAAAGTGAATAATTGACCGGTACCTATAAAGGATATAATAACACACAGGGAATGGGAACTAGAGAAGTGCCAAAGAAAAGAAAACAAGCAAAATGGAGCTGGCTAATAAAGCGAGGGGAAGCTGACCTAACTATAAAAACAAAACCCGAAACACTCAGTCTTTGACATCCTCTAACACCCTGGCTAACCTTCACTAACGACCCAAAAAGCACATACAAGACAAAAGGCACTCACCCATTCTAAACTAGTGTTACTAATACACATTATTATGTACTCGACAACCTTAACTAACCCTATACACAAAACGAAGCAAAACGAACGAAAGAAACAAAGCTATAGCTAAACGAAAGCAAAAAGAAGCTGAGCAGAGCAGAACCAAGTCAAGAGAAAGGCACCTTCATTCTGAAAACCTCCAAGTTAAATACTGAATGAGCTGAGTTCTGATTGGTCAAGAGTTGTTTGAAGATGATGTCACAACGGCAAAGATGGATGAATTAATGAACCAATGGGAAACCAACAACCAAAGTCAGGAAGTGTGGAACATAACGTTAAAACAAACGGACCACACTGGGACATAACACCTAACAAAATGACTCCAGAGGTACCTTTCAAGAGTTTCACAAACTGTCATGAATCTGTTCCATGTGAATGTGTACCACCTCCATACCATGTGATTGTTCTCAGTGTTTTTACAGCCCTCACAGCCCATAAACAGCATGAGTCCAAAACTGAGTATATATGCTTTTTTTCTAGTAAATCTGCATTAGGTTGTCCAGTTGGTACACAATGGTATTTAAACAAGAAGATCACTATAAATCTAGCTTTAGAACAAAAATCTAGGTTAAATCTACATCTACATTTTACACTGATTCCCAGTACAGGTTTGTGGGGGAGCCAGAACCATAGCCTATCCCAGATAACAATGGGTGAAAGGCATGATATACCCTGGAGAGGACGCCATTGGTCTGTGGGAGAAAGCTGGAGCACCAGGAGGAAAACCATGCAAACGTGGGGAGAGCATAAATATATAATATATATATATAATATATACTTTTTCCTGTGTAATATAAAAACATCACATTTAAAACTCCAAATCTTTCAGGTCCTATTACAATTGTGTTGTTTTTTCTATGAAAAAATTATGACCACTGTTCTTATTTTTTGCCTTGGTGTGCTGTGCACATGCTTGTCCAAATCAAACCAATCCAGAACCTTCATATGAAATATTGTCTGCCGATTAATAAAATGTAAAACATGATCAGAAAATAATAATAAAAACACACATGGTGGCTAAGTAATCCAATCAGAAGATTATTCTTAATGTAAGAAAAGCAATACACTCTCCATATACACCTTTACTAAGATACCCTTGAAATGACCTTGACTACAGTAATGATGGGAAAGCTGTTTATGGATCAGCCTGGCTTGAATGCAAAGGCAAAGAAGGGATTTAGGATAAAAATGAAGGCCATCTCCATTCTTCAGAACTGTTGATGCTATACCAAACTCCACACGCTATGATTCATCTCTCTAGCTTTTGCTGTAGCAGAGTCTCACCCACTATGCTTCACAGACAGGACAGGATTACATAGAACTGTTACAAAGATGCCACCTCTCACGATCAATTGTCAAGAACAAACTGTTTTCCCCTCCAAGAGTCATTTCTGCCACTCTGACAGTTCTGGTTCTTTTCTTGTCTTGTGGAAATGTCTTGCCTCTATAGACAATGACATTACTCCATAAGACACCAGTCCAGGGCAGGAAATAATGCCTCCTCTGCATACCATTCACATGTTTCCACACTGTATGAATGGTTTTGATTGTGGAGCCTTCTTGTTGAAGTTTGTGTAGTCTGTGTGGAAGTATGTGGACTCGCACACCTGAAGAAGAAACATTGCATCTCTTTTCTTTTTCTTTCACAATGAATAAACCTTTACCTGTTGTTATACATATACTGTAATAATATACATAAAACTACAATGCAATGATAATCTATTTTTCTTCTGAAATATGAACACACAGTATGATATTTAACAAATAACAGCAAACAAATCAACAGTCCAATTCAAGGCATTGATTATAGTAATCTACTCATTCTTATTTTCTAAAAATTAGTAGATTGCATTAGGCATTCAAGTAAATGCATGTATTGAGATGGAGAACTGATTAATAGAACAAATTACAGATAGGGGTTAATTAAGGTGATACTTCACTAGTTGTATGAGAAGAAATAAATTGGGACCACTGGTCTTTTAATTTCTATTAAATATTTAAGTTGTGATACAGTCAACTAGACAAGTTTGCAGTGACACCAAATTATAGTAATTGGATTAGCTAACACTGTAGAAGGTGCAAAGGAAATGGAAAAGTCAATACAATTCAACAATGGGCAATATCTGACAGAAATGAAAAGTGTTATACACATGTAGCAAAAAAATAAAATACAAAATCTGACAGGAAACTTTGTGCTTGAAGAAATAACCTATGTTTTTGGGGTGACATTTTCTAGACAATATAGGTTGGTGTACATACAGTAAAAGTGTACAATTTTGTTCACCACATTACAAGAAAAGAAGAGTAGGATATCATATTGTTATGACCTTAAAAATACATCTACCGTAACAATATTAGTTTGGGAGTGTCTAAAAAACAAATCTTTTATTCATGACCAGAGAAGACTATGAAGGGCCTGATTTGTGTACTGACAAAGCCAACACAGTGAAAAACATACTGTAAGACACAAATGGAAACTAAGTAGAAGTAGAGTACATTAAAAACTGAGAAAAGCAGGCTGTTCTTTACATACTGTGTTGTGGAAACATGTAACACAGCTGTCAAGGAACAGATGGATGCGATTCTTGGATCAATAATATAATGGCTGCAACCATTATGTTGTTCTTCTTTTCCAGTGTGTTTGCATTTTAGCTGATTCAGTCAAAAAAGGACTAAAGGCTTTGGATTGAGCAATGAAATGCCATTTTCATTACCTACGTTTTGCAATGATTTGAAGGTGAGGTGTATTTGAAACAGATATATGTGAATAATAGCCAATTACATGCATGCTTTATACAACTATATATTAGATAAATGATTGAATGAAGCACTCAGTCTGGGGCAAAGGTGTGAGCTACTTGTATTAAGAGTACTATCCAACAAGACATTGTAAAATCACATGACGTTTTCCTCTACTCCAGCCTCTAGATGGCACCATAAGCACTTTTAACATCAGACCAAATTCTCTCTGCCCCCTCAAACTTACATCCTAACTTCTGGGAAACTGTCCAAGAAAACTCCATGGTATTATGTTTATATCACTGAGGGATGGGTGTGGTTCATATGATAAATTACTGAGTCTGTTCAGAATAAATGGATAAACTTCATAAGGAATAGTGAAAAAAAAAATAAAAACTAATTTATCACAGTTTGTGAACAATGGCTTGTCAGTTTGGAAAGAGCAGAGTCATTTCTCACTGGGAGTTGGTAGAAAAAGATCACTTTGAGTTCTGACTGCAGCAAGCCCTAGAGAGAGGGCATTGCTTCAGATAGGCCTTTCATTTGAAGCCCCGTAATGGAAACTCCACCAGGGCCTACATCAGATAAATTATGCTAAAAGAAGCAGCAATCCTCTCGGTCACAGGCTTCATCTAAAGTAGAGCAGTCCCACCCAAGCCTCATGGGACATCAGGTTTTTCAAATACTAAACCCAAACAGACAGATGTTTCCATGTAGGGCTGCTTAATCAGGCTTTGGAACAGGATGGAACTTCCAGTGTGTATCCACACTTTGTGCCCACTGTCTAGGGGAATAGGCTCTGGCTCCCTCATGACCCTGAATTGGATGAAGTCATTAGGAAATGGATGGATGGTATATGGGACTGCACTGCACCTTCCACACATTTACATCAGAATTCTGACCAGGGAAGGTGATACAAGTCTGTTTTCGCGACCAGCCACACAATACCTGCTAATAACAGTCTATTAATTTGACTGGATTTTTTATTTTTGGCAGGTTAGTACATCTGCAGTTAGGAGAAGTTAATCAAAAAAAAATATTTATTTATGGCAGAAAATAAAAAAAAAACATTAAAAATATGAATTGGGCCTCACCTTTCTGTGAGAGAGGCCCTTGTGCTCCCACTCCAGCCCGTGGCACTGCGGTCCTCTTCCTTGTCTCGGGAATCTGTTTCACTGAAGCTCGTGCCAGAGGGAACACTCATGTGCAGGGGCAAGGACTCCATGCTACGATGTAGGCCTGAGAGTTTGGGGTAGAGCAGGGGCGAGGAACTCAGGCTCAAGGCCTGGTCAGAGAAACAGCTAGTAGAGTTGATGTTGAGGACTGGAGCAGGGCTGGGAGTAAGACAGGCACTCCCGGATCCCTGTTTCTCCTGCATCTTGGAGAAAGTGGTCACAGTTGGAGGGTGGTCCTGGGCACTCATCCCTGAATCCAGACTGTTGGAGTTCACCTTATCCAAATGAGCCAGGCAGGGTGGCTTACCAAGAGACTTGGAGCTCAGCACCCTGTGAATAATACACATCCATAATTACAATTAATGACAGGATATAAATAATTAATAATACAGATAGTTTTTCTCCTTCATTTTTTGGATTTGCTTTCTGCCTCAATTACATGTTTAGTGTTTAGAAGTTTAGAAGTGTTACCCCATATCTTTATAAAAAACAACTATTAGAATTCTGCTGATGAACCCACTTTTTGATACTGGCCATAATATACATAAGAGAAACAGTACTGATTATTTTGAAAAAAACAACAACATGTGCTTAAATACTAAAGTAGCAAAAAGATCAAGAAATGTTCACACAAAACTAAAAAAAAAAACTGAAAGCAGTTCAATCAGAAATGAAATGCTATATTCACTGGCCTTTAAAAGCAGAACAGAAGGTTCAATGAATAAGACATTAGTACATTAGTTACAAACAAAAACATTGAGACTAGATTTTGAGAGAAAAAAAACAAGATTCCTCAGCTCTATCAGCAGGTTTTGTGTGACTCCTTAAATCATTACATCTTTAACCACAACACCTACAGGATCTTACTACATCAGTAACTTGTACATTGACCCATCCTTTAGATATGAATTATAATTCATACTAGGCTATACCTTGAAAACCTAGTATTTTAATCATTTTGAGCCTGTGTTGTTTTTATCATTAAATGATATGGTGTTAGTCACAATAACAATGATGATAATCTTCTGTTCACACCAAAGTATATTATACTGTGCTATGTATTATGTATTATACTATAGTATGCTATGTATTTTAGCACTGTTAAGATATTAGACATTAGATTAACAAGAATTAAGAGCAATTATTATTTGGCTAACAGAATGCTAGTTAAGTCAATCTCATAAAGTAATTGTGAATGCTGGAGAAATTATTAAATTCAACCCAGATTTCCTAAAGTTCCATAGCTGAGGACCTATTTTGTTCAGAACTTCATTTTCAAAAGATGAAATCATACCTCTTGCTCGAGAGCTCACTGCTACTAGAATAAAGCAGTGCAGTAGTGTTATTTAGGAGACAGCACAGCAATATTGAAAATCCAGGCCAAACACTTGCATACAGCAATTTATTCACTTACAGCAAGAGCTCCCGAGTTAGGGCTAGAGGGTTAATACCACACATCCTGCTCTGCAGTGCCAAGTCAGCACACGTCTCAAGTCTCAGAGGAAACCTTTCACTACATCATTATGGAGGTTCAATCCTACCAACACACTGCAGAATACTGATAGACCAATGGCCTGGACTTCAAATCTCCTATATAAACTGCCCCTTCCCTTATTCTCAGAATATGGAAATTCTAACTAGAATTTGGAAATTCTTGAACAGTGATACATTTAAGCAAAAGACTACATGCAGACCTTTGTGATAAAGGCTACCTTACCATGTGGAAGAAGAAATACCAGCTGAATAACGTACATATAGTACTGTTTCATTTTTATTGTATTCCCAGGAGGGACAGATATAAAACAACCAGTCAGACATAAAATGTATGCATTCCCCTGTGAAGCAGGGGAACTCTGAAAAGGCAATAACACAATGCTCTTGAGGGCTATATATTTGGTAGGCTTTGTTTTACTATGTGCATGTCCTCACAAACTTCTGAATCAAATCTAGCATCATTTGATTTGGTATTCCAGCCAAAGGTCTACTCACAATTTCATACATCTTGAAAGTGATACAAAAGTAATCAAAGCACTGAATCATCAAAATGGTGGTTCTTTTATGTCTTTCCATGAATACTACTGGAATGGCTTTCATACTGCAGAAGTAGTTTGCAGATCAATGGAAAATTCATCAATGAATGGAAAGAGTGGAAATAGTTCAGCAGGGTGATGATAAAATAACGATACAACAATTTCCCGGTCTCATCCAGATATGCAATAGTATTCCAGTGAAATGACAGCTATTTTAATGTGAATAGCATCCTATAAACCTGACAATATAAACCAGTTTTCCTTATCTTAAGATATACTTAACAGGAACCCTTAAACAGAACTAAAACCTAGATTTAAAATAAATGTATAATTCTTTAAGGATCAGAGGCACAATTTAACCTTAAGACATGAATTAGCCACATATACTTAATCATCTGAAGAGACCAATTTCATCTAACATTCTTGTATTTAATTATGGGAAATATTATATAGTACATTTTGCACTATGAATGTTCAGTATACATTAATCCATGCATTTTGTAAATAACTGTTTTAAGGACAAATGTAGGAACCATTATGTAATAAATCTACTTTTAAAAGCTATAAATCAGCTCTGACCCATTTAATGATTCAACACAGAAAACGAACAACAGGCTGCCGTTCATGGTACCTGTGTGTGGTAGGAGAAGAAAGCTCAGAGAACTTGCTTCCACTGGATTGACGGAGGCCCTGAAGCTTGGAGCTGGGCTCCTGGGGAGTCTGAGGGGCAGGGGGGCCCGATTTCATGGGTCCACATTCTGAGTCTGAAGCCACTGCCTTAGCCTTCGCCTTCTCTTTCTCCCTGTCTGTTTGGTTGACGGGCCCCATGCTGGCACGTCCACTTGATTTGGTGATGCCTGGCTCCTTCAGCCTAGAGGAGCCCCCACTTGGCTTTAAGCTCAACAAACTGGCGTCAATGCTGCTACTGACAGGGCGTGAACTAGCTCTGCCAGTAAGGCTCATGGCACTGGACTTGGCAGGCCGAGGCAAGCTGCGATACTGGATGTTAGTGCGGGCATTAGGAGACAGAAACCCTTCAGTGCAGTTTGACACATCGAGGCTAGTCTTGCGTCCCCCACTCCCTCCTCCTCCACCACCACCACCACTCATTGGCTTCACTGGGATACCAGAGGTCTTGGGCGTCTTCCCAACAGTAGCTGAGCCACTGGAGATGGTAGTTCCACCAGCCGTCATCACAGTAGCTGTGCCTGTGGCCAGAGGAGGTTTTTTGTAGCCAAATGAGGTCCCTGCAGAGGGACGGGCAAGTCCTGAAGGTGGTTTTCGGGATTCACCACGATCTTTCCCTGCATCTGAGCAAGATCTTTGCAAGCCAGAAGCTTTCACCGCCATCTTGGCCTTGTCCACTGCCTTCTGGTCACTCTTAGGTGCTACAAAAATGAAACACAAAACAAAACATAGTTAAGTCATAACCTAAAGCAAATGCAGACTATATCCATTAAGCATTTTCTGCAACACTTATGTATACTTTTTTCTTAAAATAAATGGAAAAAAATCAGAATGTAACACACCTAAAAAAAGTATCCTTAAAGATACTACTCTTCAAATTCAAAAATGATGGAAGGTTATTATAGTGGGATCTTTTTCTATCATAAACCCCTATATTCATTACCTGACTGGCATGTCTTTACGTTTACAGATTCATAGGCCTGATATTTGTTTGGTCAGAAAGTTGAAAAAATAGTGATGACTGTAAGCGGAACCCCTGATCATTTTTCATAATTGATTTACTTCACGAGAATGGCAAAACAAATCTTACCTATACAGATAAAAAGAAAGGACATGATCAGAAGAGACTGAACTTGAGATGTCAAACATCTATAATAACTAATATTTAACTAAATGAGACAGACTTTTAATAAAGGTATTAGCAAGTAACCATTGCTAAATAGCTTGGGGTGTGTTTGACCAGACAGGGCAGAATTATAAGATTTACTTGCTTACTGTAAACTCACTATAGAATTATGTTATAATAAATGTTACTTTATGTGACACTAAATCAAAGTAGACCAACTGCAGCCAGGAAGTCATCTGATTTATAAATATTTCTAAAAGCCAAGAGAGTACACTTACAGTATGTGGGAAAAAGTCTAATTTCAGTTAATCCCAAAGAAAACTGTCAGTGTACGAACTTCTTGCCTTTCATTACTGGGCTTCATTAGAACATTGCAGTGTTTAGTTAAGATTTATGATAAAAAAATTTAAACTCTTAATGAGTTTGAGCCCATTTTGCTTCATCCAGCTAACATAATTTCCTTTCACTGGTACACAGCATGAAGCATTTGCTAAACTGTCAGAATATTTAAATGATTACACTACTGCTGGCACCTGTTACTGTTAATGTCAACCTCGCCTATAAAAATCACACTAATAAAATCCATTCTACACATGAGAAGGAAACAAAAAGACACATTGCCACATTTTACTACAGACATTGTCATGTCTATCACTGTGCCAAGGATTATACCAGGCTGCATGCCAGAAAAAACATCTTGTTACAAAGACCACTGTAGCAGAGATTCGGCTGGTGAACAGGTCCAGTGCTAAGGACAGGGTGAAAATAAACAAAAAGCAGAAGACCAGACCATTATAATAAGGATCCTTTACAGAGGTTATACCAGTGTGACACAACAACAAGCACAAAATGGAAGCTGAGGAGCACAGCAGTCTGATATCTTGGAATGTCAGGGCTTTTTACAAAATAAAAGATGAATTCCTGTCCTTCAGCCAAAAACTTGAGCAAAAATGGTCAGAAATGGCATTCAATGATTCTCTTTTGCTGTCAAAACTTATTTTAACTTCAGTGAACGACTCAATAAAACAATGGTGTCATTTAAAACAGGTCATGACATGAAGAAGCTGTTAGGTTTGAGCAGATTAGTGTGATCCTCTCACATCCTCTGTGTCTTTTCAGTTGCTTTACCATGTCCTGTAAAGACTTCCTTGAAATTTTTTATTTAAAAAAAGGGATAAAGAAAAACAAAAAGCAATATAAAGAGTAGAAAATCCATAACAAGTGTCAGACAAATAATGATGAGCATAAATGCTTTAAATAGTGTGAAGATAGAAGGAAATAAAGGATGCAGCAAAGTACAGAGTAATCCTGGAGGAAAACCTGCTGCAGTCTGCAAGAGACATGGAACTTGGGAGATGATTCATCTTCCAGCAGGACCCAAAACATACAGCCAAAGCCATGCTGGAATTCTTTTTAAAAAAAAAAGAAGCCAATGTCCTGTAGTGGCCCAGTCAAAGTCAACCTCAACCCAATCCTGTGGCTGGAGTTGAAAATTACTGTTCACCAACTTTTCCCATCCAACCTGAGGCAGTTTGAGCAATTTTGTAAACAAGGGAAATATGCAGTGTCCAAATGTGCAAATCTGGTACAAACATATTCAAGAAGGCATATGTAATTTGGCTGTAATTTCTGCCAAACGTGCCTCTATCAAATATAAATAAAGGATTTGATTAATGATGCAGTCAGTTATTTTCCATTTTAAATTTATAATGAGTTTAAGAGGATCTGTAAACTGTAAACTGAGGATTTTGTTTTCACTTTGATATCAAAGAGTGTTTTCTGTCAATCAATTGCAAAAACATTACGGTACCATATAGTAACATTTACATTTAAGATATTCCAAGGGGGGCAACTACTTTTGACTGTCATTGTAAATTTCAGTTTCATTCCCAATCCAATTCAGCTAATATGCTTTGTCCATCAGTAATTCATGTAGAATATTAATAAATTATATTGATTCAATAAAACATTTTCTTATTCATAAGCACATATTACACAATTGTTAGTGAATGCATGGTAATGATTTTAAACATAATAATGACTTTCTTTGATTAGTTTTAGTAGTTTTCTTTTAATTGAATTTAAATAATACTCAAAGATAATGGGAACACTTATTTTCTGTGTGCATAGTTCTGTTTCTTTGGGAACTTATTAGTACATATGTATTTCTTGTGGATGTATGATGTTCCTGGTTTGGAGCACTATATGAAAAATGCACAAAAAAAGAATCGGCATCTTAATGTAAAGTGGCACACTGTAGTAGTACTGTAATGACAAAAAAATCATATTGTTTTACTGATGAACACGGACGTTTTACAGTATTTGACTCTGCTGGACAGCACCTTAAATTATTGAAAATCTAGTGCTCAGTATAAAATCTAGACAAGGACATGACAGAGCCAAGATATCCAATATGTGGAAAATCAAAGGAATAGTGTTTCAGTATTGTATGGGAATACATACAATTTTGTGCTCTGTTCAAGTGCCTTTACTTTTCAGGAGCCCCAGATGTGTTTTCTTCAAGGGTGACTCAATATCCACATGGCAAATTTGACAGGGATTCCCTTCTATGCATAAGACCATGATCACTTTTCCAGTAAAACTGCTGACAAAGTTTCCAAATATATTTTCTAATATATTTAATAATACTGGATATCACTTAATAAATGACAACTGCATTATTAATATTTATAAATATTAAAGATGCATTATAGAAGACAGATACTTCAAATGAAAACTGGATAATCTTTTTCAAGGCTTTTACAATATTACAATATTTTAGCGCAAGTACTGTACCACAGATCGTGTAAGGTTGATTGCTAAAGTAAGATTTTTTTTCCCTTCCTTGTTCATCTTCTACTCTAATCTATGTAAAATATTACTGAACAGAAAATAAATTTCTTATCTGTAAAGCCTTGGGATTTTCTGTGCTGTAAATAACCTTGCAGATCCACAGGATTGTACAAATAAAGGCGATACCTACTGTACCAGTCTATCTCAGGACAGACACAAACGCATACACACACACTCACAACAGGGTCAGTTTTTAAAGAAGTCAATTAACCTACCACTATGTCTTTGGACTGTAGGAAACCAGAGCACCCACAGGTAACCCATGTGAAGAGATGAAGAAGATACAGATCCCACACAGATATCAGCCCAGGTCTGTAATTGAACCCAGGGCTCCAGCACTACAAGGCAGCAATGCCAACCACTGTGCCAAGTACCACACCTGATCAATTTTGACCATGTGCTGCACAAGAATTTATCTATTGTAATACTGAATTATTAACATTATAGCTATTTAATAAAATATATATTTAAAAAGAGGCTATCTTAGGGAGTTTTGGTTTTGCAACATTGCTGCTCTGGTTTTACTGAGTTGAAAGCTGATGTGTTCCATATTCTAGTTGTCTCCCTTTCCACATGGCATCTGCAGTTTCCAGCCTTCTGGTTTCTTCATCAGAATCAAAGCTTTAGCAGCAAAGTATCTGGAAAATGGGACACAGCACCCATCCCTATTGGAACTGGGCCTGCCACTTAGACTAGATGTACCACTCCTGCTGCCACTGCTGTTTCCAGGGTGGAATTAAGTTATTTGTTCCTATTTAAGCACAGTTGAGGTTTCTGCACAGTCTTTGCCAAAGGCACAATTGCAGTGTCTTTTAAATTTTGGTTTCCTGTTGTTTTCCAGCATATTAAAAATCTAACTGTGCCCTTTTTGGTTCTAGAAATGTGCTTTTGAAGACTTGTTTCCAAGGATACCGAACTCTATAGTTGAATAATCCAGAAGGTTTCACCTAAATTTTACCTTAAATTCAGACATTACTGAACTAAAAGCAAACGTTACTAAATTATCATGTTTTTGATAATTTCATGTTTCAAACATTCAATGGGAGTCCTCAGTATCAGCTAGGAATCTTACATTAATATTATACCCTTCTAACTCAATATTAAGCATTTTATGCAATAACAATGTATGTTTCAGAGAAAATGTTATCTAAAGCAGCCTTCTACTGCTTCACTATTTGTGCAATTATCTTTAAAAAAAAAGATAAAAAATTGCTCCCACGAAATCTGATGCTGGTTTAATTTTTATATATTGCATTATTGATTGAAACTGCAATCAAACCTGAAACCAGGTTGCATTCATGGGATTCTTAGCCATAAGGTAAAAGCCCATTAAACACCACTTTCTATCACTCACTGCTCTTGAAGAGTATTTGAATGCATATGACATTTAAATGGCATTTTAAAGTCAGTGTTTGAAAAGGCTGACAAAATACTCAGAATATTCTATGACATCAGAGACACCAGGCGAGACAACTATAAAGATTTGAAGGAAACATTGGTAACGTTGGAAATGTTTGAAAGAACATTGTTAAAAGCACTTCAATTTTGTTTTTTGTTTTTCAAGGAGCTTATGAGAGCTACTACAAGCTTCCAATCTGAGTGCAAGATGGGTCCTAAAGTTTAGAGTTTGTAGGTTCCAATCCAACATAGATCATTTACCAACTGTGACAGGATCAAAAGCTCACCTTTAACTTCACTCACACATTGCTTATCAAAAACTAAAGAAATGGGAAAGCCGCTTCAACCGCAATTCAAAAACTGAACGCAATTATTCTGCCCAGCAAGGCACCTTCCAGTTTAATAAGAATAGAACTTCTGCTTAAAGCAAAATTTTTACATAGTTATATCTGCTTTAAGAAGAATAAGGTACTGACCTCCAATGCCTGCAGAGATTACAAATTTGTAAGCACATATCTAGGGCACTGAAGAGGTCCTAAAAATAGTCTTTCTGGCTGTCTCTGAAGGAATGTGTTACAGGGGCCGTCCTGGTACAGTAACTGTGTCATGCCTCTGCAAAATGTGGGAGTTTCAGAACCTGCAGAGGTCAGAGACCTGTACAAAGAGAAGTTCGTTGGTGTTGTTTTTTTTCCTTTCAGAAAAGAGGTTAATCTTTTACACAATGAAACGGACAATTTCAGCTGACGGATTACTTTCTGAAACACTTTCAACCAGGTCTATCAGACATCCTTGATCAACCAAGGTAAAAATGACCTGGTTTTCAAATTGAGAAGCAGCATTTGTATGAATTGTTATGTATTGAATTGTATTATGTAATGAAACTTACCAGCCACTTTGAGCATGCTCTGTGAGGTGTGTGTGATAGGGGAGGTGACACCCACAGGAGGGTTCTTGCCCTTCCTAAGGACATTTGGCTGCCCCAAGCTCTGAGGCTTCTTCAGCTCCCCTTTGGCCATCTCCTCACTGCTTGTCTCTGGCCGCACCTTCCTCCACTTGCTGGATGATTCCGTCTTGAGGCTGCCAGTATCGTACCCACTACTAATGTCCATCTTCCGGTGTGGTTTACCATCCTCGCTATACCACGACAGCCCACTTTCCACCAGGGATCTCTTCTCAGCATCTGTACGCAGCTGTTCAAGTGAAAGAAAAAATAAGGAACAAAAAAAGAAAACACCCATGTCAGATCAGACATCAGGAGTCCGTAACAAAGTGAAATAGTGAAAACGGTGGTTGTAGTTTATATAGATATTTGCACAGTTCTTGCATAAAAGCTGGAAAAATACTTGTTTCTTTTGCAAGTGATTGATTTAATGTCTATGACCCTCCAAGAAAGACAGAACAACAAACTGGATTTTCATTTGCGTCCACCTTTCAAAGCTGGACACTAATGACCTAATTTAAATAGCTACATTCCATTTTTATATTCAAGTACTACATGACAATTCATTTTACCATTTACAAATGCACATTAATATAAAACCCAACATGCCTAACTCACAGGTGGAAATTAACATTTGATCTTTCACAGTTGCACCTCAGAAATAATAGCTTTCAATAAGCATGATTCAGAATTAACTGAATCTGTATTTCTACCTCTGCTGCTAAAACCAGAAAAAAAAAACACAATGAATTATAGTATCGAAAAATGTAAAGGCAGCAATAGATAAATGTGTTCAGGTGGGTAGCTGGGTCAGCATGTGTAGTCTGCAAAAGAGTGTGATAGGTTTATTCCATGCTGAAAAGAGAAAAGAGAAAATTTTTCTCTCTTCTCTTTTCAGCATGGAATAAACCTATTACTCGTTCCTTAATAGATAAATATGTATTCTTACAGCTTTAGGTGACTGAGAAATGTCTCTTACATATTTATGGATTGGGATATAGGCTCCCATTTATTTTGTGGTAACTGGGGTGCAGAGAGATTCAACTGGCCAGCAGCCATATCACTCTGCAACTCACAACTGGCAACCCACTGAAGCTAAGCAAGTGTGAGCTGCTGCTGGAAGAGGTGTTAGTGGGGCCAGCAGGGGGCGCTCACCCTGCGGTTCATGTGGGTCCTAATGCCCCAGTATAGTGACGGGGACACTATACTGTAAACAGGCGCTGTCCTTCAGGTGAGATGTAAAATCGAGGTCCTGACTCTCTGTGGTCATTAAAAATCCCAGGGTGTTTCTCGAAAAGAGTAGGGGTGTAACCCCGGCATCCTGCCCAAATTTCCCATTGGCCCTTCCCAATCATGGCTTCCTAATAATCCCAGACTATGAATTGGCTTCATTACTCTGCTCTCCTCCCCACTGATAGCTGATGTGTGGTGAGTGTTCTGGCGCACTATGGTTGCTGTTGCATTATCCCATTACCTGTAAAAGCGCTTTGAGTGGAGTGTCCAGAAAAGTACTATATAAGTGTAAGCAATTGTTATTATTAACTGCAGGTTCCATTGTATTTAGTTAGAAGGCAGCTCATCTCTTATATTGCCTCCCTGGGCTCTCTGGGGTTTTCTGGATGACCAGAATGCTAGGCCTCTGAAACGTCTTGTTTGTAAACACTGTACATAGAGTAACTTGTGTAATGTAGGTTATGTTGTGTGTAGTGTAGTGTAGTGTAGTGTAGTGTAGTGTAGTGTAGTGTAGTTTGTGTCTAGTCATTGTAATAAATTTTTGTTTAACCAAGTGTGCCTGGATTGTTACTCCTCTAAACAGAGATGTGCCGGAGAACAAAGAACTAAAGTGCCTCTAATTATACCAGCCGCTCGGGTATGTTGCTAGAAATCACTTAGAAGTTGGGGGTTATGAATAATTATTTATTTAAACAATCCTGATTTTCACCATTTTCATAACCCACTAATTGTGACAGTATTTACCTAATTTTCAGTGTATAACTGTTGCTACACGATGACTTCAAACATCTGTTACTGTATATTCCTCATGTTTTTCCATAAGACTTTGGAGCTTACTTTGGAGATGGACTTTGGGAAATACTTTATAGTCAAATGTTTTATTAGCACTATGTTTTTCAAAAGTGTTACAAATGGCAATGGCTTGTATACTTTACCCAGTTTACAAGAACTGGGTATTTCTAAGGAAAAAATCGAACCTATAACATTTTCTTCAAACCAGGAATACCTTCTAGATTGATTATATTCATAAACACGTTGTAACCTCCACAGTTATAAAACTATAAGGAATATCAAGAACCATCTTTATCCGTTGTCTATAATTTTTTTTCTGATCTCATCTAAAGAATATGGAATTCAATTTTTAAGATCCAATAAACTAAAAACAAAACAGGAAAATAAAATATAACCGAAAACATTCCGTTCTCTTGTATATTTTCAAAACAAATACACCAGAGAAGAATCTAGACATAGGTAATGAAATTATAAAAGTCAACTTGACCAGGAAGTCAAACAATAAGTAAACAGAAATGTAAAAAGCCATGTGTCCTTTCAGGCTTGGTCTTGGGTTCAGCACAATATAGCAAAATATGTACTCCTTCCCTAGGGGCATGACAGACCGGTTTTGTATAAATTGTGTAATGAACTCTGTTTCTTTTCAGTTTTACTGTTTATTTTCAAAGAGCTGGACCAATGCATTATCTGCAAAAACATACTTTTTAAAATCAACAGATCACAGGAAGAGATGTGGCATATGAGGAATGTCTGTTTTTTTCAACCCAGATAGGCAGTTGTATTGTCTTTGTGGAGTTACTTTAGTTAAGTGACCCAATAATTATTTTTAATTTTGCAAAGATAGGACTACTGCTTCCTAATAAAATACATTTAAAGTGCCCCAGGCTTTCAAGGGAAAGGAGGCCAAATTCCACAATATCCCAAAGAAAACAACTCAACTACCCAGTTGCAAATACCCAGAATATTTTTTTTACAATAGAAGGCTCAGCACAAGTCTTAAAACCAGGAGCTGCTTTTACAAAACTCTGTTGTAATACCTTAACTTCTCATGTCTGTACAACTTCACCATTTCCATCTGATCTTTAATCCATTTACATGGTTTCATTCAACTGCAGCTCAAATAATTCTGGTTTATTGCGTCCCCACTCTTCACTTAAACCTAACAAATGACAAGGCTCTTTGTCGTTATATCCCAATGGTCTTAACAAATTGTACATTACAGGGAATGGGCTTTTCTAAGGAATTTAATTCTCAATTTATAAAACAAAAAGAATATTTGAGAAAGATGGAAAACTAATAAAGTCTTATTTCAAGGATGAAAAGAAAGCTATCAGCTACAGTACATTTAAGTGTTTTTAAATCTAGCCTGAAAACTATTTTGAATGGTGTTTTGGCCAATGTGTCCTGTTGTTGATTTGTTGTCATATGTAGCTTGGTAACTATAATACTTATTTGTATTGTGATATATATCTTTTGTGTTATAAAGCATTAAGAGATAATTCTTTACAAAAGGTGCTATAAAATGAATAATATTATTCACAGTACTGTGCCTTTGTGCTTTGTTATTGAAATTCATATATTCCATACTCACCTATATGGAGATATTCTGTAAAAAAACACAGATAGGCTTTGGAAACATTTCTGGGTCCTATACAGCACTTTCTAAAAATAAATGCATAACATACAGCATATAAACAATAGCATTTGCCACCTTGTAGGCCGATCTCATCAGATTTCAAAAGCTAAGCAGTGGGCCTGGTCAGTACTAAAATGGGAACTATAGGGAAAACAAGGTTAATGTTGCAAGTGTTATTTGTGAAACAGTACGTGACATTCTTTCTTCTGAACCATATCGGATGCGACACTGCAATGTAGAATAATGTGCTGTATGTTGAATAAGAAATAAATATAGCTTCTGACTGCTTGGGCATAAAAGAACCTCAGAGCCTGTTCATTAGGCTGGGGGCATTTACCCAAATTAATATTTATTTTTCATCATACAGGTGTAAGTATTTTTCTTATTTGTTTGGTGGGTTCATGATGTGTATCGTGTTGTGTCTTTCATCTGCCTGCAAAGAAAATTTCCCATTTGAAACAATAAAAGAAAGCAAGGATGTTATATATATGAAATGTTGCATCTATTGATTTAATTGATTATATTTTTAGAATAATAATTACTAATTCCTTACACTTATATAGCACTTATCTGGACACTTCACTCAAAGCACTTTACAGGTAATGGGGACTCCCCTCCACCACCACCAATGTGCAGCATCCACCTGGATGATGTGACGGCAGCCATAGTGAACACAGTTCGCTCACCACACATCAGCTATCAGTGGGGAGGAGAACAGAGTGATGAAGCCAATTCAGAGATGGGGATTATTAGGAGGCCATGATTGGTAAAGGCCAATGGGAAATTTGGCCAGGACACGGGGGTAAACCCTACAATATTTGAGGAACACTCTGGGATTTTAAATGACCACAGAGAGTTAGTACCTCGGTTTTACGTCTCATCCGAATGATGGTGCCTTATTTACAGTATAGAGGCTCTGTCACTATACTGGGGCATTACGACCCACATTGACCACAGGATGAGCGCCCCCTACAGGCCCCTCTTACACCTCTTAAAGCAGCAACCTTAGTTTTTCCAGGAGGTCTCCTATCTAGGTACTGAACAGGCTCACACGTACTTGGCTTCAGTGGATTGTCAGTTGTGATTTGCAGGGTGATATAGCTACTGATTTATATATCGGATACTATAAAATCATGCTATTTATTAGCCTGATGCCCTGGCTTATTTACTGTTTCGGCTTTAAATGTCTGTCCTCTTTAAAGTCACCTTTAATTCCCACTTGCACCTGATCAGGGGTTTAATGTAGTACCTGGCGCATATATTCTTTAGTCTTTATTCTCACATATATTATTTTAGTATACAGACCCCCAGGACCATATGCATCGTTTCTAGTTTAATTTGGTGAACTGCTCTCTAATTTAGTTAATAAGTTAGACAAAGTTGTATTATTAGGCGATTTTAACATACATATCGACATAGATACAGATTCCTTCAGTAAAAACATTATTGTCCCTGCTTGACTCTAGGTTGTAGTCAGCATATAACAGGACCAACACATGTGTACAATCATACACTAGACTTAATTATCAATCATAGAGCTGATATTCATCATATAGTAGTCCATCCCATGGATAACTCTTTTTCTGACCACTTTTTAATTACTTCTGAGATTCGACTACCCTCTGTAGTTCCCAAGGAAAAGATAAATACGACATGGCACATCATAGGGGTACATCTTTAAAATTTATGAACGCAATGAATGATGCTAACTTCACCTCCAGTACTAATGTTGACGAAATCAAACAACTATAATACAGTGGTCAGACAGGCCCTCGATGAAATAGCCCCATTAAAGACTAAGGTAGTCAAAACCATTAGACACTCTCCATGGTATAATGATCACACACGACCTCTTAAACAGGAGTGCCGTAAACTAGAGCGCAAATGGAAGTATTCCAGTCAGCATGGACTGATAGCCTGCAAAGGCAAAGGCAGTTGACCTTGGGCCCCTAGAGGTTTTTTTCTCCATACAGAGGAGTTTTTGGTACCTCTCCTCCATTGTCTTCTGGCTTTTTCTTTTTCTCTTTCTGTATTGTAATGTCATGTATTTTCACACAGCCTTGTTAAGTGCCTGAGGCAACCTTGTTGTGAAAGGCGCTATATAAAGAATAGAACTGGCTTTCACACTCCATCCAGGTTGGTACAGCACTTCAGTCATGGATAAAGTGGGTTCCCTTCCCACTTTAATATTTGCAAAGCAGTATTTGAATTAAATTATCAGTGCTTCAGTTCAATGCTTCAGTTAAAATTGTGAAGATTGATAAATTTAAACACATTATTTAACATACAGTAATATAATCTCAAAGCTATTTAAAATCCATTACAGGTAAAGACAAAATTAGTCACAGTGGTGTGTGGGCCCAGGAAACCACTGTCCTAATAATTTCACTCACATCCTTACACAGAGCACTAAGGATGACAAGGCTTTGAGGACTCTCATTGAAGGAATACATTTCAAAGTAAATAAAGTATTATTTTTCAAGAAAAAAATAAATATAACATTTTCTTTAAACCAGGAATACCCTTTTCAGACTGATTACACATTGTAATCTCCACAGTTCTAAAACTATAATCAAGGAATATCAAGTATCAACTTTTTTTCCTGTTGTCTGTAATTTCCTTTTGGTTTTAAGATGAAAGATCACCTGTTTCTTCTAATTATCATGCAGTTTGACACTTTCTGATTAAGTCCCGGCTAAAGAATATGGAATTCTGTTTTCAACATCCCACAAACTACTAAAAACATAAAAGAGGAATATTAGATTGAATACACCATTGCCTTGCTGCCGGTAAACCTAAATTGAAAGTTTCCATGACAACAAATCTACATGCAACAACTGCAAACTACAGAGGTACACCATTACATATTACACAGAATAAAATTTGAACATGTCTATAATTGTATAGAACTGATGTAAGGCAATATCTATTTTTGCAGTTTTCAACTGTGTGTAGCACTACTAAAGGAGCCACTAATGAATATTGTAAAAATCTCATGGTGCATTACACAACTATTTTATCTACACATTGCACAATATAATTGTTAGATAAAAATTTAGGAAAAAAAAATTGAAAAACCATGTGTATGTTATATAAAATCCCCACCCAATTTGGAATTGCCAATTAGCAGGTATGTCTCAACTCATACTGGAGAAAAAAAGTGGTGACAAATTCCTTCAATTTGCCTACACATCAAGCCATCTTTTTAAAGCACCACAGGCTCAGCCCTGCAGCAACAAACCAGAGGTTCCGCACCAACTGAAGGAAGCTGACGAACACCCTTAACATTATCATCATGACTTCGTGATCACCGTTTCCTGAGGAGCTGCAGGGCTCCAGATGACGAATCCCAGCCCTAATCCAGCCAATTGTATGCCGATGTATCAGGAATCCCAACAACATATACTGTACATTGTTGCCAGCAGCTATTTCACAACTGGCAACCCACTGAAGCTAAGCAGGTGTGAGACTGGTCAGTACCTGAATGGAAGACCTCCTGGGAAAAAGTAAGGTTAATGCAGGAAGAAGCGTTAGTGGGGACAGCAGGGGGCACTCACACTGCGGTCTGTCTGGGTCTTAATGCCCCAGTATTGTGACGGAGAGTCTATACTGTAAAAAGGCACCTTGCTTCAGATGAGACATAAAACCAAAGTCCTGACTCTCTGTGGTCATTAAAAATCCCAGGGCATTTCTCGAAAAGAGTAGGGGTGTAACCCCATTGGCCTTTACCAGTCATGGCCTCTTAACGATTCACATCTATGAATTGGTGTTACGTCCCAGTGTGTGGTCCATGTGTGTTTTTTTGCTATGTTCTACACTTCCTGACCTTGATTGTTCTCCTTCCCCCATTGGTCCATCATAACACCATTGTTTCCATAATACATCATCATCAATCAGCTTCTTGGACAATCAGAACTCACTTGAAGTGGAGTGTACAGAAAAGTATATAGTGTAAGGAATTATTACAGTGCGCTAGTATCATGACCCAGGTTTGAAACAAAATGTTCAATTCAAAAAGCCTAACCAGCACAGAGCATATTTACTATGTGAGCACTCAGTGGGAGGCATCTACAGGTCATGCCCGAACTGTAACAATGATGATGGGTCATTCAGTCTGGTCTGTTTTAAGTCAAATGATTGTAGTTCTTGGTATAATCTGCTGTGGTAGAGAATTATCTTCTTCATGTTGTATTTCAGTTTTAGACCCTGTCAACTATTGATTACCAGTAAAAACAATACCTGCCAACTCCCTTTGCAGTAATTGAAATGATATAGTGCTGTATTAATCTAAATCTCCAGTTCTTTATTTTTACTGCTTTCCATTTATCCCACAGAAAAATATTACCAATTAAGCATGGTAGCTTGGTATTGTAGTTTGGCTAGGTTAGCTCTTGAATTAGAAACATTACAAAACATTTAGGGTAACAAAATGTGTCACAGCATTGAAGACATCTGTACCCTGTTAACATGGATTAATACAAAATGGAGGATTTAAAAAAAATCTGTATCAGTTCCTAAATCAAGGCAAGACAGTGTAATGTTAATTGTTGCCTGAAAACATTTTTTGAAGTCTAGAACTCCAGGATGTTCTGTTCATATAGTAGGTAGCCAATATTCTATTAAGAGGGTGAAGAGCCTACATTCAGACCTGAGATAGCAACAATGTCACAGAGTACTCACCACAATGGCAGAGTTTCTTCGTGAACCAATGGGAGTGGTTGGTAGGGAATTGAGAGAGGAGCTGGCATTGAACTCTTCAGAGCTGAGGTTATCTGATGCATCGCTGAGACCACTGCTTATAGAGCTGCTCTCATCCCAGCTGAAAAAAGGCAGAGACAGAAGAGGTTGTCTTATTTATACAAGCACATGACACCAAGAATAAGTATGAGAAACCGAAAAACCAGAATAGAAAGAACAGAGAATATTGTAACTCTCCGGGGTTCACATGGGTATGCGCCCTCGCCGCTGCCGCCTCAGGTCAGCCCTCCACCGTCAGGGACTCGAACCCGGGCCTCCAGCATCACTGAACAGGGACCGAGCCACTTGAGCAGAAGGGAAATGTTCCGTCAGCCCGGCAGCTGCGGTCCCTGCTATTCACAGGGAAGGGCGGTGACGTCACCTCGCTGGCAAGCCAGCTCTCACAACCAATGGTCGTTGTATGCGTTACAATATGAAAAAGCTTAATCTATATGAAACTTCTGAAAGAAAATTATCTCTTGACCTTGAAACAAAAATAGACTATTTTCAGGTAATGTCCCTTAAATCTCATATTACATGCGTAGTTAAGAAAACTGCCAGGTCATTTGTGACACCACAGTTGTGAATAATACATTAACGGTCACCTCCCAAAATGCTTTTTCACGTTTTAATGCTGCATATCTCCTTTTATCGAGCTATTAAGATGAGATGACAATATTTTATTGGTGAGATTTATCAAAATTAAAGCCCAAAACTGCAAAAGAAAAAGATGCAACTAACCAACCCCGATTTCCTTGTTTGCTTTTTTATACATTCAGCAATGTACAGATGCAGCCATCTGTTCAAAATGAACGGAGTACGCTGCGGTAAAACATGGTAGGTGTGGCACATCACAACACCCGGGTTTTTTAACCAGAAACAATCATGACGTTCCCATCCAATCAAGGTTTGATTTTTTTTATTTTGAAACCGTGATCTTGACATGCAGGTGTGAAGTAGACTTAATAGCTTGAGATTTAAAAGGTTACAGACGCATATGGTCGACATTACAGATTGCGCGAGCTGTGTTGCATTAACATTGGAATGTTATTTTTTACAAGTGCAAAAAAAAGGGTGATACACATCGTGTCTCCTCTATAACTCTTCAGTTTACAGAGAAATTCCACCAGAGCCTCACAACATTGGCCAATAATACTCTTCTTGTGTCTAATTTTTAGTTTAGCAGGATTTGCGCAATAAGCACATTGTTTAATGGGGGTGACATTACCCACGTCTATATCACAGTACAACACTTGTTTGAGTCGGGAATGCCATACCATCTCTATTTGATTTAAATCTGGGGATTCAGCTGGAGTTTTCACAAGCTGTCTCTTGTTGACTTCCTGTTTCTTTATATCTTCATTATTTGGTGTGAGAGAGTCTTCTTGATTTTAGTCATAGTCCGTCTCCTTCCCAAAGCTAGTGCAGTAAGTTGTCTGTCCCGACAAATGGTACAGATAAACGTGTACTATACTGACGAGCTAATATCTGAAGAAGGTTTCAAAGCCGAAACGTTGTTTTATCTCTTCTCTTTTCAGCATGGAATAAACCTATTACTGGTTCTCTTACTGTAACTACTGCATGATTTCTTTATCCGTTTCAGCTAAATGAAGGGAATTAAATCAGTCAGAATCTCAGAGTGCCAACTGTAAAAATAACCCTTCTTTGTTCATTTGTTTAACTTAAAGAATTTTGCAAAGAAAGTTTGTAATGTAGGACACGCTGAACGAGTTTGTCAAGATCACGGTTCTAAATAAAAAAAACATCAAACTTTAGATTAGATGAGAACATCATGATTGTTTCGCAAGGATGTGAACTTTTTGTGATATTTAGAAATTCCAACAAATTCAAATATAGCATCGATAATATTTATCATCAGTAATAACGACAGTAGTGGCAGTGGCAGTTTGAAATTATTAGTTATTAATAAATCGCTTAGCTTTTAACATGCTGTGATAATTAGAAATATAAAAAATGTCAATATAGTGTCCATAATATTTGCTATTTTAGTTTTTCAAAGAAATTTTTATTTGTTAAAAGAAAACTCATGGCAACAGCTAGGTTTGAAGCCCCGACTTCCAGCATGCAAAGCACATGCCTAACCCATTACGCCACAGACGTAATCGCATGGGAAGGAGTGAAACTGATTAAGACATTTCCAAAGAAAGTGTACTACTGTCATAATTTGAGCTACAGTATATTAATATAATTATATCATTATTAATTTCTTTACATATGCGAATCCATATTATATTCCCTATTAATCAGGTTCTAAAAAGTATGCGTTTTTTTACTGCGATAATGAGTGTAGGTATTCGCAGAAAAGGTTGAAACATTATAACTTTTTACAAAGTATATAAACTTAATATACTGTAGTCAGAAGGAGCACATTAAAAACATTTCCAAAATAACCACAGTATGTAACCAAATGGAAAACTTTGATGCCTAAATTGTTTAGGAAGAAAGTGGAATACTGGTGTGTATTTTTTATTTAAATTACCAATACCAGCCATATATGGTTTACATAATATGTTTATGTTCCCAAATTAATATCATTTATGACATTCAAGACACGTTATGCTCCTCTTCTTTTTTTATGCTCAGCTACTAAAATGTCCCTTTAGTTATAAAATTCAATATAAATATTCAATACTAAGCTGATTAAACATGCACAGTAAAGAGATTAAATTATTAAATCCTTTCATTAATGACCAATGCACAACGAGTGCCCCCGTCTGTCATTTTGTCCAGCCCATCGCATACCCCGGTACAACGTAGTGAACTCTGGGTAATTTCACGCGGTACAGGGTTGTACCATGCATTTTGAATGGCTGCATCTGTATAAGAACTTTCAGCAATAGGCTGATCCAACCACGGGGTGACAGGGAGAGCTACAAAGGTCATTCTTGCCTTCTGCCATAAGACTTTATAGCTCATCCACTGTGTGTCTGGGCAGGGGCAACATTGACCTGTTTTAGGACTAAACATGAATTCTCTGTTTACAGGTGGTTTTCCGTTTACAACTGGTGTGCGATATAAGCTTGTGGATAATGTGCAATATATCTTCCTGTGTACTGTACATTCTGGTTTGTTTTTGTATATTCTGTACTGTGATCAAATCTCTATAGTCCGTTTTATTGCACTTCTCAGTGACTGTGCTTACTTTATTGTATTGTATTGTATTATGTTACACTGTACTGTGTTGACTGTGCCTGGCTGTTGTTGCACCGCAATTTCCCTCACGGGACTAATAAAGTATCCATCTACATAGAGAGGGAAACGGATCACCTATTGATCGTTTTTATAATAATGGATGTTTGATTAAATTTTGTACTGTTGGATTCTAAACCTCTCAAAGCTCAAATACCGGAGGACCTGGAATTTACAGTTTCTGTATGAATAAACATAAGATGGTAAGAATAAATGAATGAATCATCATAAAGCCATCTTTTCCAGTACTGTATAGTATTACTACAGCATATTTACTTAAGTAAAACACAAAGTACATCTTTTTTTAGATAACATTTTTAAGAAGTCACAAAATACCATACGTGATCCGTCATATAAATGCCAACACACGACATACTGGCAGTGCTTTCACAAAAGAGGAAAAGTGGTTTGAAACTCCTTAAAGACTGTATGATCTGGCAGCCTTGACATTTTTTAGTCTCGTCTAGCCTTACTTTCATACATTAAAATACTAACATCAAAGATGCTGAGCTATTATATAATCCCGATATGTACTGTTTGAACACCAAAACAGATTGGAATGTCTGCCAGAAGGAGAAATTGTTGAGTGAAAACCCCTGTTGGCAAAGAATGCACTCAGGAAAGGCTTTGAGGGTTATTCCTTCATATAATTTGCACACAACATAGCATATTATCATTGCTCAATCACAAATAGTAAAGGCTTTATTTCTGTGGCAATGGTATCATATTTAATATTTGATGTAGCAGACTCCAGATCATAAAAGAACAGACCCTAAATGTTTGCTTAAAAAGAAGTAGTAGATTATAGATGTACATCTCCCTAGAGAAAACATTTGTTGCTGACCCGTCTTAAATTGAGATTAAGTAAAGACCTCAGCTTCAAGCAACAGCTTCAAAATGGCCATTGCTCCGATTCTCATAAAAGCTGGAATTGTCCAGCAACTATAAGTGGATTTTGATCACTGAGACTAATACCAGAACACACTACACACTACAAAAAAAAACATCCTCTCATTTCTTACTTTTCTCATATTCACACATACCAGAGGGTGTTTGGGAAGCTACATGGTTATAATAGGTAGTTTTCTAAAGCTATACTTAAAGTGATTTCTGACTTCTGTTCCATAAGGCATTATTGCATTTGAATATTTTTTAAGGAATTAAGGTAATGAGAAAAAAAGTAAATACTAATAATCAAAAGCTTGACAGACATACATGTCTCAAAATACTTACAGTAATTGTGTTAGATGAGGAGTAGTAGGCCGTCTTTCTACCAACTTCACTATTTCAACTTTACAAGCACAAACCATCTAACTCTCAGGAGTATGGAAGCCCGTTTCCACCAGGGAGTGTCATTGTCTGTCCTTTTGTTTGTGTAATGGATTCGGGTTCTAGGGCTTGTTCTAGGGCTTGTGCCCTCGCCGCTCCCACCCTAGTTCGTGCCTAAATGCATTGGCTCGAACCCAGGTCTTGCCAGCTGAGCTTAAGACCTTCTTTTTTAAGTTAAAAAGGAATTGTACCAAAATTGTTTTGGATTGATTTCCAAAATGTTATTGTTAAACATTTAAAGGTAAATGTTAAATTTAAAGATTTTGATATTTTTATATTTAGATCCGATTTGGATAAAGGATATGTTCTTATTATTAATCTGTTCATTATGTTGGCGAAATACTTCATCCACAAAAGTAAATGGTCTAATACTGCTCCCTCTATTAATGCTTTTAAAGTACAATTCCTTTTTTACTTAAATTCTATTAGAAATGTAAAGAATCAAAAGGCAAGACATACAATGGAAATATGTAAAAAGTATAAGTTTCAGCTTTTATAATTGTGAATTCCTCTGGATGTGAAGTGTATATTTCTGTATCTTTT